CCGATCTTGGATGGTGGACCAAATATTGACAACCTCTTTTTTTTTTTTTTTTTTTTTTTGTTTTTTTTTTTTCGATCAATTTTCGTTGCATAAATAATGGCCATGTTCACTACTTATCATTTCAACACTCTCATTCAATTATTTGTAAATAAATATAACTAGCAATAAGTAATTCAATCAAGATTAGTAGATAATTGAGTCTATTATTTAGAGAGATAAGATATCATTTGGTATCTCTTAATATTGAAGAGATATCAATCACCTATCTGTTTGCTCAGGGGGTGGCCATAACTTATGAAACGTACTGTATCCTTGGGCGACGATGCCAACCGTTGGATCGATGCCAAGGTGATGCAGGCGCAACTCCCTGCTTTGGTCGCCGCTTTCAAACGTATCTCCTCATCTAGTGGTCAATAGTCGAGGGGGGATATGTAACATGAGGAACTTCCAGAGTCGAATGATTCGTTTTCCAAAGTGTTTTGATGTCGCTTCGCGCACTCAATCACTTCATTCGTTCATTCATAGACAGTGGGTCTTCAGTTACTAACTGTCATACTCTCAAGGTATGTCCTCTTGTTACACCAATCAATCATTATATATAAATAAATAAGTTTATATGGATTCGTTCATTCATATATTTAAGACCCACTGTCTATGAATGAACGAATCTATATAAACTTATTTATTTATATATATAATGATTGATTGGTGTAACAAGAGGACAGTAGAGCACTCTTGCTCTCAGCTTGTCGCATGCCCTTGTCTAAGAGGGGTATATATGCGAGCTTGATCCTCTTGCCCATGTTCACAAAGGCCTTGAAGTGAGGGGAGGGATCGTAAAGGTGCAAGGTCGGCTGGGTGGCGCCAAGCACATCGTTACCAAGCACAATGCCCAGGTAGCATGGCACGATATAGAACACTGCATTCAGATGCAGGCTGACTGGCTGTTCGTCAACGCGTCCAGTCATGTTGAGGGTCAGTTCACAACGCTCGGTGGCGGTGACAGTACCCTTGTGAAAGGCTCCAGTGAGTTTGACGTCGGCTGGGGACCTCTTGATCGACTTGAGTGAGTCTGCGACCTCTGGCGATATAATTGATCGATCGGCGCCAGTGTCGATCTTGGCTTCCAGGTCAATGCCGTTCACCTTGACTGGCAAGACGAAGCCTGTCGCAGACGTGGACACCAAATTAATTATGGCTGCCACCAGGCCGCCCATGCTGGCCGCTGGCGCCGCTGCCGCTATTGTTGCTGCTGCTGTTGCCAGAGGAGGGAGGTGTGGTGGACTTGGAGTCCTTGGATTGAGCGCCATTGTTCTTGTTGTAAGAGCGATTGGCGGTGCCGGACGACGGTCCTGCCTGGTCCTTGGGGGCGTTGGACTTCCCRTTGTTGTTACCGTTCTGGTTGTTGTTGGACTTGTTGGACTGTTGTTGGCCRTCGGCGGGACGTTGGCTGTTGTCGGCAGATTGCTTGTTGTAGTAACGATTCTTGTTTTTGCCKTWGCCATTGTTGTTATTGTTGTTGTTATTGTTGCCACCGTTGTTGTTGCCATTGTTGTTGCTGTTCTTGGCAGGCTGCTTGTTGATGTTATCRATCTTCATCTGGAACTGATTAGTGTCCAAGTAACGAACAAGCTTGGATTGCCAGGCGGTCGTGATCGCAACGTCGGTTTGAGGCGCCCTTGACTTGCTGACYGTGAGGAAGTCGTGAGGCATGCCATCTGCCAAGAGWGAGGTGATGGCGGGGGCAGGCAGCTTACTGACCAACATGTCACACACGTCGCAGTATCTCTTGACGAGGTCGCCATGACTTAATGAGCTAATTTTTTTGACGTAGTCGTCTGATGAATTGAATCTAAGGTTTAATTGTTCAACATATATATTGAATAATATAAATAGAAGTCATTTGACCTTATTTATTCTCTTCAGGCTATAGATATTAATACATAATTCTAAACTTTAACAATAACCAAATATTAAACAATGGGTCGTAAGTATTAATTATTTTTTTTCAATATATTTATATATTTATATATATTTTTATGTCTAACAAAAATTAATAATAATTAAATTTATATAGTTAAGGATGTTGCATTTGACAAAGGTGTAGAGATTGTACAAGATGTTCTGGGATTAGGGGACCAAACAAACAACTCCAATCCAAACAACCGTGCTCCATCGGAGAATAGACAAAATGCTCGTGACCAGAGGACCTTGAACAATATTATCCAGAACCAATCAAACAAGGAGGTCATAGAGAACGGATACAATTCAAACAGTAACGATGGAGTCATCAATGAGGATGGTTCTGTTGGAGGTCAATAAGAGGTTGTTTGTCTAACATTCAATAATGTTAAAGGTTAAGGATCACTGTTCTCCATTGATAAAATAAAGTTCATGGATTTCCAATTGAACTCAAAGAGTGTTCCATTCTTATAAATTCAAGTTACTATATTGTAGTAATATATAAGTTTATATTCGATTCTTTCATTCATAGTGGGTCTTCATTTGAATTGAGTTTGAATATTGGGTATCATTTATTGAGAGTTGATGTATTGACTTTGCTAGATTGAGTGATTAACTGTATCACTCGTTTCGGTTTGTCTTTCGCTCTTCAGTTAAGTTTGAATATTATTGGATGGCCATTTTTTTTTTTTTAGACTATTTAATGTGGAGGTTTATTATATTGCAAATAAATGGGCGTCATTGAAGAGGCGGGAATGGTTGGTCCTATTTTTGTTTCGTTTTCCTGTTTTTTTTGTAGATTAGTTGGTTCCTGTGTCGATCGTTTCGGTTTTTTTTGTTTGTGATTGGCATTCCGAACCTTGGCATCGTCAGTTAAGGAGCATCGCCGCGGGAAGTTAATTTTTAATATAAAGAGATGTACTCTTAATATTATTGAACGTTCACTTGAGAGTATGACAGTTAGTAATTGAAGACCCACTGTCTATGAATGAACGAATGATATAAACTTATTTATTTATATATATGATGATTGATTGGTGTAACAAGAGGACATACCTTGAGAGTATGACAGTTAGTAAYTGAAGACCCACTGTCTATGAATGAACGAATCATATAAACTTATTTATTTATATAATTAATGATTGATTGCGTGTAACAAGAGGACATACCTTGAGAGTATGACAGTTAGTAACTGAAGACCCACTGTCTATGAATGAACGAATGAAGTGATTGAGTGCGCGAAGCGACATCAAAACACTTTGGAAAACGAATCATTCGACTCTGGAAGTTCCTCATGTTACAAATTTAATTAATACAACAAAAGAATTTAGCATCTGGAAGTTTCGATCGACCGACCTGTGGGTTATGGGCCCACCGCTCTACCTCTGAGCTAAGATGCTGTTTTTCTTTCCCAGAAGGACATGTTACAAATGTATTGCGCTAATAATACTAAAAAATTCTCTGGTATTATTTCAAAAAAAAATATATATAATATTATAATATTCATTGTTCGATCAAGGTCTTGTATATTTAATTCAATGTTTGTTGGATGGACAGTGATGTCCATTAATTTACTGTTGATCACCATCGACGCCAGTCCAAGCAAGGTCGTCAGCACGTGGAATAGCACCAGTAGCATAGGTGATGATCTCCTCCAGACGCTTCCAGAATCCAATCGATGCCAAATACGGGTTCAACCATCCATTGGTAATACAGTAGTACTTGTCGAATGGGTTGCGATGATGGATGGCATGGTCTCGCTTGGAGAGAATGACGCCACTGCTCTGGAGGAACTTGATCAAGGCGGGCAGCTTGTAAGTGTGGCTCCACTTGTGGATCTGGTTGGTCAGCATGATCCAGAAGCTTAGTTGGACGAGGAAGCACAGCAGGAACAGGTCGTACCTGTCGTCTCTGATCTCAGAGAATGCAGTGAACATAAGCACTGGCACGACGGCCATGCAATTATCACCATTGGTCTCGATAAAGTCGTGGTGGCACATCTGAGTTGGAACAACATGATGCTCTCTGAATGATCTCAGCAAGCTGTTGCCAACGATTGGTGTGTCCAGTGTTCCCCATGTATCGGCACCCCCTATATTTGATTGATTGATTGATTGTTAGAGAACAATTGATTGGTCATGTGTCCAGCCTAGCAACTTACAATGAACAATGCCAGAGAAGAAGTCTGCGACGATCATTGCTAGGAGTGAGGCAATGAAGAAGACCCAGATGTTTTGAACAAAGTACAAGGTGAACATCTTTTGAGTCGAGACGGCCAAAAGAGCAAAGAAGACTACAACACAGACTATCTCTTGTGCTCTCTTGCCCTTGGTGTATCTTGCTTTGAACTCATCAGACTTTGCCTTTATCGAAGATGATTGAAGTTGTGCAATTGAAGCTGAAGTTGGTGATGAATTTGATTCTATCAGCACGTTATCATTATTATTATTGTCTTGCTCCTGTGTAGTATTCATTCTTTGATTCAATGACTGCTCTGATTGTTGATGTTGTTGTTTATCCATCATCATATCATCATCCAACTTTGGATATGATATAGTATCGATGGCTTCTTCTGATAAAACTGAGCCTGTCATTATGTTTATCTATATTTATCTAAATATCTGTATCAAAGTATTGATTTGATTGATTGATTGATTGATTGACTATTTGTACACGTTGTTTATTACACAACTAATGAAGTGAAGAACAACAATATATTATTATTATTAAGTGTACTTATAATGTTATGTTAGAGATAGAGATAGATAGAAAGATAGAGATAAAGAGTAAACCTTTGATTGCGCTCGATGTCCATCATTCATGCAAACACACTCCACATCCAACACATTCACACCAACGTCATAATACGACGATATTTCGATTTTATTTTGAAACAATTGCATTTTCCACCCAAGAATCCAAAGAAATCGAGGACTGAACTTCTTTCGAATAATCAATGAATGGATGACATTGTATTGATCGTAATGATTGATTATGTATATATATATATTAACATCCACCACCATGTACATTACATTGTCCATCAGTTCCAACATTTAGAATGTCATTCCATTGCTGACCTGCCGCTCGCTGACTGATGCCGAGGGCTGCGTTGAGTGGCTGAAGATTGCCAACTCCGAGTAGACTTAGACCACTGAGTGACATATATGAATGAAGCAGGTCGGGCGTGTTTCCAGGCACCTTGGCAATGCCTCCAACGACATGGTGCTGTGCAGACAGCACAAAGCCAGAGAGCAGCGTCTTGTCAATGACGTTGTGGAGCTCGCCCAGGATGGAGAGCGAGCCGCCCACCCAGAATGAATAGCACGTGTCGGCATCCTTGTTGGTGCGTCCACAGAAGCCTGTGAGCTGCTTGTTGGCCAGCCACTGAATGAGACGATCGCGGTTGCGCAGCTCGTCCAGCCTGCCCATCAGCGCGAGTGACGCCAGTGCACAGTATGTCGAGCCTCCGTGTGCCTCCTGTCCGGGCACCTGAGCAAAGCCGTACTCATAGGTCTGGCTATTATGTATATACTGAACCGCTGCATCCTTGTTGACGCCTCTCCAATCGGACATGAGGAATGAGCTGACGCAGGCGGCAAACAGATGGCGCATGTCGCTCTCACCAGCCTGCGGTGTGCCGACAAAGCTGCCGTCGGGCAGCTGTTGGGCGGCGATTGAACGTGTTATTGCGTCTCTATTCACACGACTCATATCATCTCCAAGTATTCTAAGTAATGCCAATGATGTATATGTGTTGGCCAAGCTTGAGAAGTCACACGCCAAAGGAGTAAAATTGCAATCGCTGCAGTTGAATGGTTGGCCAAGGAAGTTTGCTCCCCTGAATCCACAATTAATATACATCTCATCTTGTTATTGAGTTAGTATGATTGAACGAATGAATGAATGAATGAATGATTGATTGAATGAACATACCTGGTGCATTGACATTTGGTTGAACCTGATGAGTGTAGATCCAATTGATTATATCTTGTTTGGGTATTGATACAGTATCAAGTCTTCCGAGTAGGTCTAGTCCAGATACAACAAAGTATACTAAAGACATATGATTGACCATTCCTCTACTATAAGGTGATGGCAGTGCATTTAAGCACATCTTAAAGTGTTTAACATGTTTCTCCAATTCAAACTCTATTGTTGACATCTTGTTCTTCTTCTTCTTCTTCTTTGCGCGTTATCAATGTATATCAATGAATGTTATAAGTATGTATGTATGTATATGTATCTATGTTACAGAATGATGAATGAATGAATGATGGGATGGATGTTCAACAAAAAAAATGAAGGGGGGAGGTCACACTTTGAATCAAAGTCCTTGAAACCTTGACCTCCCCCCTTCATTCTTCTTCAATCTAGACAGACGTCAACATCATAAATATACACAACAAACATATAAACATGTCTAGTTCAACTTTGAAGCAAGTTGCATTGTTGTCTGGTATGCTATCAAGGTCACATCCATCAATCATACTCATTCATACACTAACTCAATCGATCAATCAATCAATCATTCACTTTAATGAATGATTGATAGAGGGCTGCCCTCCAAAGGTTTGGTGTATCGAATGGTCTCCATCGGGAAAGTTGTTGGCTGGTTGTGGAGATGATAAGGCTATTCATATTTGGTCAGAGGATGAGGAGAATAGATGGCCACGTGTACAGACATTGGATGCACATGAGAAGACTGTTAGACGAATTGCTTGGTCCCCATGTGGCAAGTTCCTTGCCGCTGCCAGCTTTGATGCGTCCACAAGCATCTGGGAGGAGTTGGCTGATGGAGAGTTTGAACAGATATCAACATTGGAGGGACACTCCTACGAAGTCAAGTCAGTCGCATGGGACAGCTCTGGCACTTTGCTCGCGACCTGTAGCAGAGACAAGTCAATTTGGATATGGCAGAGTATGTACATACTCTGGGCATGATGAGACACCGACTAACACTAATACTCATACTCATATATAGTGGAGGATGATAGAGAGTTTGAATGTCTATCAATTAGTAATGGACATAGTCAGGATGTAAAGTGCGTGCGATGGCATCCATCCCAGGAGTTGTTGGCATCGGCATCATATGACGATACGATAAAGATGTGGCAGGATACTCATGGTGACTGGGAATGTGTCAACACACTGACAGGACATGAGTCCACTGTCTGGGACATAGCATTCAATCGCACTGGCGATCGTTTAGTATCAGGTAGTGATGATAAGAGTGTCATCATATGGAGATATAAGAGTATGTATTGATCTGATCGATTGATGTGATCTGTGATGTAACTAACGAATGTCATCATATAGACTCAAAGTGGGATATACTACAGAAGTTCGAATCAGTTCACAGCAGACCTGTGTTCTCAGTTGATTGGTCACATAGTTTGGATGGTAAGGGTAGAGACTTGATAGTGTCGGGTGGTGGCGACGACTCCATCATCTTGTATGAAAGGATTGGAGGTTGCCAAGACGACAGCGACAACAACAATAGTAGCGATAAAGAAGACGAACAGTATAAAGTGATAATCAAACAGGAGAGAGCACATACCAGCGATGTCAACTGTGTACGATGGAATCCAAGCAAGCCAGGCATGTTTGCCTCGGCAGGAGACGACTCGACGATCAGAATATGGTCGATTGAGGAATAAAATGACGACTACGCGACAAACTGAATGATCCATAATCGAGCTATCCAATGATATCATATTCATTAAGACTATGACGATGGCGATGGCGATAATGATGACTGAAGAGCGTAGAATCTGACTGGGAACAGCTCGGTAGGGAAGTTTGGTTGCAGCTCAGTCTTGAGGAGCTTGGCTCCACTCTGCTCAAAGAGATATCGGAAGTGATTGTCAGATCGCGTGACACTGCTGTCATCCTTGTCCATGACGAATGATCGCTTGGCTGTGTTATCCTTGATGCACAGTACACCGTTTGGTGCGAGTGCCGCCAGACATCTCCTGATGAACAAGATCAGATCCTTGTCTGTCAGATGACCAATCACCCATTGAATCCAAACACAATCATACTGCAATGGTGTGCCATCCTCTCTCTGGAACTTAAAGTCTTGCAGTCCCATTGCAAAGTAGTTATCTACTCTCTTCTCGCTAATGTGTGGGGAGGGGGTCAGATGATGTGGCCACTAAGCTTAGTTTAGCCTCGAGGTCTCCAACATACTCTTTGAATGCAACCTTGGCCTCGTCTAAGAAGGCAGGGTTCTGTTCTAGGAGATCGACTGTCTCAAAGAGTGGAAGCAGGAGGTTCTTGGTGACACGACCAATGCCAGCGCCACAATCGAGTGCTCTCTTCCTACCAATTGAGGCCATCTCTGTAATGAACTTGTTGCTAGATTCGACATCAGTCTCTGCAATGTGGCCCAGTCCTCCAAGCATGCCATCAAGTGTAGGTTCAACATTCTTCCAATAGTCAGCTGTCATTCATTCATTCATTCGTTCGTTCGTTCGTTCGTTTAAATGGCATTCAATGTCAATGTGATTGTTCAAGGCTTGTGTGATCATGGTCCGTTGAGTGATTGATTATATGTACCTGCATTTGTGTACCATTGTGATTGTTGCTGCTCATTGCTGCCCAACTCCTTGTTCCAGAGATCATCGATGTTTGTATAAAAGGTGTTGCCTGTTGAGTCTGCACCTGCTATCTGTATTTTCTTTGGGTACTTCAATGGTTGTACCAAGTCTCCATGTTGTTGTGACATGATTCTGTGTAAGTATACATATATAAAAGTATTTGTTGTTGTTTCAAATGAATGAGTAGTTATCTTACCGTGACCACATTGCTGGTTTGACTATTACGAAGTTCCGTTTAATGGGAGAGATTCAAATGATATCCTCCCCTTCCGGGAATTGAACCCGGGCCTTTCGCGTGACAGGCGAAAATCCTCACCACTAGACCAAAGGGGAATTGATGTCCACTAAACAAATGACAACGGTTTTAAGGAGAAAAAAGGGGCAAGATACACCACTCACACATTAAAAGGCCAGTGGACTCAACCAGAACAGTGTCCAAACAACCAAAACAATCATATAGTTATCCCTCGGGATAAATAAACTGAACATCACGGCTCTCCTCCAGGTAGGACGGGAGTCGGTTTTAAACAAAACAAACTCACTTTGAAAGTTTGTCAGTTCTCATCAATCAATTCCTTTAATAAACAATCATTAATAGGATTCCAAATTTTTGAATACCTTTATACGTTTATGATTCAAAGTCTAAATGTCAATCATCTCTTTTCCCCAACAACTAACTGAGATTGTAAACTCTAGGTTATGAACATAATGTACCCATCCAATTGGAATGAATAATGCATCACCTGCTTTCAATGTCGTTGTGTAGACTTGGCCAACTCTCTCCATTGATGGATGTTCAATCAAAGGTAAACTATTTCCATGTACAGCTTCTCCTTGATGTTGAATGTCATCGTTTGCAATGTTAACATTAGTTCTAATGACTTTGGTCTCTTCACTTGGTGGAACCAAGACCACAAACTTTGATCCTCTGATCACTGCCACAACATTATCTCCAGAGTCCTTGTGGAAGTGAGTTGCTGTGTTCTTTGCGCCAATGAATGCTCCACGAACTACCATATTGTGTACTTTGCGATTGAACAAGTGTTCATTCTCCACGTCTCCACTTAGTTGAGGAAAGTTGCCAAAGATGTCAAAGTTGCGGACATATGGTGTGTTTTGATGAAGCTCGATCGGTTGTAAGTCTTGCCAGCCAGTGATTGATCGTTGCCAATACTCTGAGAAGGGCATTATAAATACATCGGATATCTTTCCAAATGAACATTCATTTACTTCAACAGGATGATCACCAATTGTTTGAAGTATATAATCATCTTGCCACTTTGTCATCGCAGGCCATGACTTTGTCAACTTTGTAAAGACCAGTGGTGTACTTTTCTTTAAGTATTGCTCATAGAGAACATCCTTGATGATTGTAATATCTTCCTGATCATTTCTTTGTACATCATTTATCTTTACCATTTTATATATAATTATTACTTTGGTTTCCAATTGACCCTATATTTGTAAAGAGATTGATTTGATCAATTCAATGAAACTTGTTCATTTAACTTTGTGATTTGGAATGAATTTCGAACTATTCTGGATTCTTCACCATTTGAAACATGTGATATCAATAACAACAATGCAACTACACGATTGGTTGTTGATGAGGATCATTGAATTGGCATTCAAATGTACATATAAAAGAAGAAGGAAATGGGCGTTGTCACTTGGTCTGCTATCATGGAAGTTTCATCGCTTCATCAAATCAATCAACAACAAACTTATTCTCAACCAATATGACCATGTACCCGACGTAGTGAGCCGAATAGTTGACAATCACTACTCTATCATATCTGATAGAATCACCAAGTTAAGTGGCCTCTTTTATGGTGGACTCCACATTGATGATGAGTCTTTCCGTCTCTGCTGGCCTCCAGACTCTATACTCAAGGAACAAAGCAAGAGATACCTCGGACAAGTTCAATCTCTATCACATATTGGTTGGCATTATGTTCTCGAGACTCTTTCAGCGCTGCAGCTTGGCAAACCGTTCAATCGATTGGATTTCTTCTCAATACCGAGCACAGTGATCAATACAAGACGGACCTCCAGGGTCCAAGCATCGTCCAAAAGGAGGCATGTCTTTGTCCTCTTCTCAGAAAGATCTCATTCAATGTAGTCTTCATAGACGACCAAATGCCTACCAGGCCGTACTCGACCGACATCCTGGCCACCACGATTAACCATCTATTCACATCGTCCAGTGATTGGCTCCAAAGACTCGAGTCGTTGAAGTGGAAGGACATCTTTGTGAAGGACTTGCTCAAAATGAGGAGGCAACTTTTTGATGGCTTGGCTGGCCTTGGGATGCTTATCAATCTTCAAATGTTTGTAGTATACGTTCACTTTGAGACATCAGACTGGAACGAGTGCGAGCAGACATTTCTCCTCCTCCAAGACCATCTCCAATAGTCTGGAAACAATATCAGAAAGTTTGGTTTGACACTCCCAATGGACAAAGGAACCGGTCACAGTTTGCTCTCATACCTATTCACAGATCATACCTGTAAAGTCCTGGATCTCACACTGGCAACCTATTTGGCGAACATTCCGTGTGCCCTCACTCGTACTCTCTCGCGACTCACTCTGGAAACAAAGTTCGACTACACCTTTGTTCAGATCACTGAAGATGATATCTTGGCCATCAGTGAAGAATATGAACAGACCTATGTGGCTGCAATCCAATCAATCTCATTCGTCGATCATCTGGTCCTAGAACAGTGGAACGCTGAGCCAGGAACATTTGGTTATGATCATTCAAATGGCATTCCCACTTCCCAGGTCGATCTCACTCTTGCTCAGAGCTTGCCAGATTGAACACATCACCGAGATTATCAATCTCATACAACATCCAGTTTGCCTCTTTCTCCAGTTCATTGAATGTCCCTCCGAGATGGACAGGGTAAACCTGCAAACTGCCATTGACCAGCATCCAACAATATTGAACAAATGGTCCGCCATCCATCCAGGCTATATTGATCGAGATCAATGTTGGTGGTGATGATCATCACCAAACTCCATAGTTTATTTGATCAATACAGAGATCTATCTAGTTATTATTGTTGTTTGGACTGTTGTTGAATATTGATGATACAGGGATGAGCTTCTTGAAACCGGTGAGCAGGGTCTTCTCAACGTTGGTGACGTATTTCTCCAACATGACGGTCTTGTCGCCAGCCTTGATACCCTTGAGCTCCACGATCTTTTGGAGATCGACCTGGGAACCCTCGGGGATCAATGCGTTGTATGTCTCGACCAACTGCTCGTTCGGACATCCGACCACCTTGAGTATGGCCTCTGTCTTGCCAAACTCTGTATTGACGAATCTGATGTATCTGTTGTTTGGCTGGCCCAAGGCCTTCAGTGGCAGACCCTCCAGGCACTTCTTCAATGTTGAAATATCAAGAAGCAATCCTTGTGCTCCAATCTCTGATATCCTCTGGCATTTATATATTGATTGAGTTGTCTTGAATATGAACATCCTACATTGATTGATTGATTAGTATATGATTGATTGATCGTTCGTGGACAATGGACTTACTCTGCAAACTTGTCACAGAAGTAACCAAAGTAGAATGGAGTTAGAAGCTCAACTTCAACCTTGAATGACTCGTGAATGATGTTCATGATGGCATCGATGTAGGGCGAGTGATCGCCAACGTATTGATACTTGTCGCCCCAGTCAGTCTTGATCATTGTCTGGATGTGTGGCTCCATTCGTGCACCAATTCCCTCAACCAATGATTTGACGCTCTTGGTAATGACCATGGAGTACTCGCTCTTCTCACCGGTCAAGTCGATCTTCTCCTTGTAGCGCTCAATGATGAGCTTCTTGAACTTCTCTGCAATCTGTGTCGTTGTCTTGCTAAAGTACTCTGCAGTGTTGATAATGAGACAGATGATTCTGTCCTCGCGCTCGTCGTGTGCCTTTCCAAAGTCGCTTGGCACCTTTGAGGAGAGTACCTGGGCGTACTGCCTGAGGTACTTGGTGAACAGTGTGTAGAGGTTGAAGAATGGCTCACCCTTGGACAGTGAGGAGCAGCGGTCCAAGGCCTTGCGGAAGTATTGAATGAGGTCTGTGCCACTGGACAAGATCTTGTTGGTGGCCTCGGCCTCCAGAACCCACTTCTCCTCGCTGACCAGCTTGGTGAGCGCCTCGCTCATCTTCTTGTCCTCCTCGTTGATGTACAGGTCCATGTAAGGATCGAACGACGACGAGAGAATGCCAAGGAATCGTTCGTATGTGCGGTCGACCTGCTTTGGTGTGTTGGGGCCGGCGGGGCCGCGTCCGCCCGCTGCTGGGGAGTTGGGATTGTTTCGCTCCTGCTCCCTCTGCTCCAGCTGCTTCTGTCGCCTGATCCATCGCTCGTTTATAGCATCGATGCTGTGTGGGTTCTGCTCGCCCTCGGGCTCGTGCTCCTCCTCGTGCTCATGCTCCTCGTCATCCTGTTGTTGGATGGGCTCGGGCTCGGGCGTCTGCGAGTCCCTCTGTTGTGAAGCGGCGGCGAATGCCTTGTACATCTGCTTCTCAAACTCCAGAGTCTTGTTGAGTGCGTTCAGCAGCACGTTGACATCGACGTCGTTCCTGTGTCTGTTGAGCAGGTCTTGCAGTGCCAGCTTGGTGATGCAGCAGAACTCGTAGGCAATGTTCTCCTCCATCTTCCACGTCACTGGGAAGACGCCAGCGTACTCCAACTTGAACTGATTGAGTTGGCGCACCAGCCACTTGTATCTCCTCTTGACATTCTTTAGCTGAGAGTGTTCCTCGTCAACTGTGAATGAGCTCTTATAAGTTGACAATTGAATATCGCAGAACCAACGTAAGAAGTCCTTCCTATTGATGTTGAGTTGATTGATTGAGTGATATAAGTAAGTGATTGATTGATTGGGTCAATGCTGACGTGGCTCATCACAACACATACTTCATCTCTTGACCCAAGGCATCGACAACCAAACATGCACTCCTCCATCTATTATCCTCATCTCCTCGTGAGACGTTACTTGTGCTTGGTATGTAGCTGTATGGAGTGAAGTTAGTGTTAGTCACCATCGTCAATCAATCAAACCTTATCTATTCATACTTCTTAAAGTCTGTGTAAATCTGATCCTTGACTGTTGTTCTTATGCTCTCGAGGTCGCTGTTGAGTGCGGCGATCTTTGGTGAGTCGCGATAGTTCTTGAAGCCCTCGGCAAAGTCAGCAGTTGCCTCAAGCAACTGTGCCACCTTGGCATACTCCTTAGTCTTTACACCTTCCTTTAACTGCTCCACGCACATCACTAAAGTGATTGAATGATCGTGTAAGTGATTGTGATCATCATTGTTCATCCCACCATCAACATACCCATCATGTGAAGTTGCTTAAGAGTCTTGATGGCAGAGGTCAAGTTCTTCTTTGCATAGTCGAGCGACTTGATGTCCTTGCAGATCTCTGTGACCATCTGTTCAGACTTGTTGGCCTTGGACTTGATGTCTGCAATCTTCTTGAGCAACTCATTGATTGATCGCTTGGCATTCTCCAAGTCCTCCTTGCCCTTTGCACCTGTACTGCTCTGTAGTCTAATCTCCTGTATGATCTCCTCATCAATCTTTGCGATCTTTTGTCTCAGTCTAGCCATGAATGTATCAAGATGATTAAGGTTTTGTTCTATATTGATTGATCGATTGATGATTAGTATGAGACGATCGATGATGATGATGATGATGATGACTGTTGCACTGTGCTGCGTACCTGTTGGGAAGTTCTCATTGATGTACTTGACAGGGTTGAAGTCGTATCTGTCGATTGGGTCTTGACTGGGTATGATATCATTGATGGCAGCCTGCAATTCAGGACTGAACATATCATTGTTCCAACCAGGTACACTACCCTCCAATGATTGTGTCTGTGCTGATGATCTCTCCATCTCCTCTTATTTGTAGATAGAGATATTAATTGTGTGTGTTTATGTTGTTGGAGAGAAATGAATGAAGATAAAATGGGTGATTTTCAATAGTTTTGAGTCTTTTTTGAATCCTTCCAGGTCAACTTTTGTCTTGTGATGCCTCCCAGGCAATGTAGATTATTAAACTGTTAATTATTTGATTGAATCAAATACCGGATAGATTGATTGTTTGTTTGATAGGTATTTATATATATTAATATATAAATTAATATATTCAGGAATATTATTGAACTTCGTCCTCAACGTCATATTCATAGAATAGGTCTCCTAACGATTCAAACCCAATGTTACAAACGAACTTTCCAAAATATCAACTTGAGTTGAACATCATCCGACGAATAGGATTATGAGACATGTTTGTAAATTAGTCAATCCAAAGCAATCACAAATATATATAAACAAATACATATTTTCAACATCAATATTATATCCACCTTCAAATATCACCAAAACACTCAATTGGTCCGAGATGACACAACGATGGTTGCAAGCGGTCCAACATCCAATCATCGAGAATGATCAACTTAAAGCAAAGTTCTGCGTGTCTTCTGGATCGGGGCCAAGAGTCCCCTTTGCCTTGAGACAAGGTCACAACGAGATCATCCACTATCTCCATCGTCAGAACCCCAAATTGCTCAAAGACAGTCCTGCCCTACTGGATATGATGGCGGCCATTGGAAGGTTTGACTTGATGCTTTGGATGCATATAGAAGGAGCAAAGGCCACGACCCGAGCATTGGACTATGCTGCCACTCTAGAAATTGCGCAATTCCTTATTCACAATCGAACAGAGGGATGCACGCATAGGGTAATGGACATTGCAGCATCTAATGGTAGGCTGGAGATTGTCCAATACCTAAGCACACACCGTACGGAAGGCTGTACCAAGTGGGCGATGAACGGTGCCTCGCAGAATGGACACCTGGACGTCGTTGAGTATCTACACACTCACAGGACTGAGGGCTGCTCAGAATATGCAATGGACCGTGCCAGCTCCGGTGGCCTCTCAAGGTCGTTCAGTATCTACATCACAATCGAACAGAAGGTTGCTCAGAGATTGCAATGGACCGTGCCGCTGAGCATGGTCATCATGAGATCGTGAAGTTCCTTCATACCAACAGAACTGAAGGATTGATAAGCACAGCTCTAGGTCTAGCATTGAATAACGGACACTTGGAGGTCATAAAGTACCTTCATGAGCTCTCACCTTGGGAGGGACATGTCAATACTGCTTGGATTGACAACGCATCTGCAAAGGGATACCTCTCAGTCGTTCAATTCTTGAGTGAAAGTAACCGATATGGATGCACGCCAAGTGCAATGGACAATGCAGCGAGAGATGGTAATCTGGAAATGGTCAAATATCTTCATGCTAATCGTACCGAAGGTTGCACTACAAATGCCATGGACAAGGCCGCCTTGAATGGACATTTCTCAGTGTTGGCCTTCCTTCATCACTATCGCACTGAAGGTTGCACAAGAGCAGCGATGAACGTAGCTGCAGCCAATGGCCATCAGGAAATCTTGGAGTTTCTACATTACAATCGCACAGAAGGTTGTTCAATTCACGCCATTGATGTTGCCGCCTCGGAGAATCATTTGTCCATCGTCAAGTTCCYTTCATAAAAATCGAAGTGAGGGTTGTTCGGTAGTGGACCATCTGACACATGTCTGTTGGTTCGTGGAAGTGAAGGAAACAAAATGGAAACAAGTTGGAGTGCACTTCTACCACATTCATTCATTCATTCGTTCATTCAATCAGGTCACTTGTTACTTATACATGTAATATATAATATTTATCACTACATACACAATGGATATTGATACACCATTACATGAACAGTTGTTCAAAGGATTGATACATAACAGATTATTGTTCATACAGTTGTTTAAACAGGTCAGAGATATACATCAAAGAAACAATGTTGTACATAAAGTTGATGATAAGACAAAGATATTAAGATGGCAACAATTGGTGGACTACTGGCTAGATGCCTTCAGATCACCTTTTATAGAGAGTGATCAACTTAAGGTCAAGTTCTACATCTGTCCAGGAGAGCAACCAAGCTCCCATGAAGTTGACTTGAAGCTTACAACATCATCATTCGAGGCATTCAAAGGCCACGACTATATCATCCAGCATCTACGTAGACAACAGCCAAACATCCTTGCTAGGACTACTGGGATATTCGATATGATGGCCTCCATTGGCAGGATGGACTTGGTTCAAATACTTCACAAAGCAGGTGCATCTGCCACCACCAATGCCATGGACTACGCTTCAACACTTGAGATTGTTCAATTCCTTCACGTCAATCGAACAGAGGGCTGCACTTGGCGTGCAATGGACTCGGCAGCATCGAATGGTAGACTCTCAGTCGTCAAGTTCCTTCATGAGAATCGAACAGAAGGCTGTACAAAGTGGGCGATGAACAGTGCTTCACAGAATGGACATAAGGATGTTGTTGAGTATCTACACACTCATAGGACAGAAGGCTGTACAAAGTGGGCGATGAACAGTGCTTCACAGAATGGACATAAGGATGTTGTTGAGTATCTACACACTCATAGGACAGAGGGCTGCACATTCTATGCCATGGACCGAGCAGCATCACAAGGACACATGGATATCCTTCTGTACCTTCATCACAATCGAACAGAGGGCTGCTCAGAGGTCGCGATGGACAGAGCGGCAACACATGGTCACTTGGCAGCTGTCCAATTCCTTCAAGAGAATCGCACAGAGGGTTGCAGCAGAGAGGCCATGACACGCTCCACTTTGAATGGTCACTTGCCAGTCGTCAAATACTTGCATCATAATCGCACAGAGACCTATTCAGCTGGGCTGATGGATAATGCAGCTTCATGCGGCCATCTAGATGTCGTTGAGTTCTTGCATTCCAACCGAACAGAAGGCTGCACTACATTTGCCATGATCTCGGCTTCAGAGCATGGCCACCTCGATGTCGTAAAGTTTCTTCATGCTAATCGAACCGAGGGATGCAATACCGTGGCAATGAACCGCGCCGCGATCAATGGTCATCTGCCTGTGGTCGAGTTTCTCCATCACAACCGCACAGAGGGATGCACAGTCAACGCCATGAATGACGCTGCCGCCAAGGGCCACCTCAACGTCGTGGAGTTCCTTCACAGATATCGACAAGAAGGCTGCACAGATCGAGCAATGGCTCGTGCCGCCATCGAAGGTCATCTATCAGTTGTAATGTTCCTCCATTACAATCGCACAGAAGGATGCTCTATAGATACGATCGAAATTGTAGCTGGCTATGGATATTTGGAAATGATCCAATTCCTCTGCAATAATAGGACCACTGGATGTACGCCGCATGCATTGTTAGTCGCCGCCAAGAAAGGATATTTAGGCATTGTCCAGACACTGATACAGACACGTCGTGCCTATGTGATCGGGAATCTCCAGAAAGCCATCAAAGGTGCCACTGATGCTGGTCACTTGGAGGTTGTCCAATACCTTCGAACCCTTTAAGCTGGCTATCTGTCGCACACACACTGATTGGTCGGTGCCCAAAGTTCAATCATTATTTGGTCACATGATCACTAAAGAAATTTAAACAGATATAATGTAATAATGATATTTATTAATTGTTATAAGAATGAGAAGAATGACCTCTTGATAAAAGATGAACAACAAGTTCCAACACATGAACAACGATCATTGCAGCAAGGAGTGCTGATTATATCCAGCGTGGGTTATCGTTGCTGACAGATCTGACCCTGATCAAAGTTTTTCACTCACCGATCAAGACATTTCCCTCATTTCACTGCCATTGCTTGCCTTTTACATGTCTTGGTTCCTGGTGTCACTTATCTAATCTAAACTACTAGTGATCACTAAGAGAGACAGATACATAATATAATCAATATTCTTAAGATGTCCAACAACGAATATATCATTAATGAAGGTGGTCATGCAGCAAGAAATGTGACACCATCCCCAACCCAGGAGAACACGACTCAAACTACGCAATCAAGTTTGCGAGTTGGAAGCATTGTTTTCTCGATCTTCTCTCTGATATTTTTGATCATATCACTTGCCGCTCCTTGGTACTACACTTCAGTCGAAACCACCTATTACAACAGAGATACGACAATTGAAGTAACCAACTTTTTGGCGTATGCAGAGGTATGTGTTGGTGCTCCCGGCKATCGATTGATCAATCTKAAGATATYCATGWTCTAACCTCAATGCCTATTTTAGACGTCTATCTTTACCTACGGTAACTTAAATGAGAAAACCAAGGTATGGATGAAACCAGGCAGTKMCTTCAACCAATTTCTCTGGGCGCTCTCATTGATGATCGTTGCACTCTTCTCGCTGGTGGCCTCAATTGCAATTGATTTCAAGCGCCCGTCCTCAAAGAAACTCTCACTTATCCAATTCCTGACTACTTCMYTTGCCATGYTCCTGACGGCTCTGGCCTGGTCTGTCTGGATCGGAGTCACAGTCGAGAGAGCAGGTGGTACCTTGACGAACRCGAMCKACKACACCATCMRAAAGCCCATGTGGGGAYTTTGGATTGGCCTGMTCGCTATGACCACATTGATCATCACCAGCRTCCTCAGGGGACWCATCTATAGAGGCATGCCGAAGATGATAACTGTACACCCAGGAAGTGACCACATCCAGGTCATCCAGGGCGCCCCATTGACCAACCCTAACCAGCCACAGTCACAGTACCACCCAGGCAGTGGCCACATCCAGGTCATCCAGGGCGCCCCATCGACCAACCTTAWTCAGCCACAGTCACAGTAYCAGCAGATCACTGTGGCTGTTCCACCCAATGTGGTCGTGGACRCCCAGCAGATGTACCGTCTGGACCTCCAGTTCGTGCCTTRTGGATTCAGTGCCACCGGTCAACAACTGTTCTCGCAACAATATATGCTGCAGCCATGCTCCCCTCCACCGTCCGAGGCACCTCTCAGTGCATAACAACAACTATCAATAAATCCTTTGATTGAGCCTATCATGATAACGAGAGGATATCTTGAATTAAGCTTATTCTGATGGTTGACCTTGTCTTTGGATGTTTGACGAATGACATCATCCATCCCATCACTTGAGGACACCATTACCCTACCCTTGCCCTGACCTGAGGTACAAGAATATAAAGTTATATTATCTGTTATATGTGTGTATGTTGAGTGAGTGAGTGAGTAAGTGATGATAGTCAGTATGAGATAAATAAATATATTATCTTGAACTTTTGTTGACCTGATTGAACAACAAGCTCACATTTGACAATGATTAGCGCCAAATAAGCATACTTTGCCCATTAAACCGAGTCAAAAGCTACATTATAGCCCCCGCAAAACGGCAAAAATGCCCCGCAAAACTGTAAGAGGTCCATTGGCATCCTTAACTTGACTTGCTTCGTCACCACCATGAAAGGATATTAGGCACTTCTCCAGTCCAGTCTTGCCTATCACTTGGAGGTTGTCCAATAACTTCAATATCTGTTTAAATGTATCTGACCAAATAATAATTGAATGGTCCACTCATTAAAACTTTGATCCATTTGGTATCGGACACCATCCAATCAGTGAGTGTGCGACAGATAGCCAGCTTAAAGGGATTGGACATACATTGTAATAATGATATTTATTAATTGTTAAAAATGAGAAGGAGAAGAATTGAGCTCTGGATAAAAGATGAACCACAAGGACTTGCATTGGAACTATTTCACACCATTACAAATGAGGGAAAAGTAGTATCTTGATGGGAGTGAAAAAACTTTGATCAGAACGTCGGTGTGTTAGGGGATGCATAATATCCAGAGTGGACCTGCAAAGACGATATCGACAGTTGTTCCATTTACATCACTTCACTAAACCTAAGTATCACATGTCTATTTTAAACTACTACAGATAGATACATAAAATCATATTCTTAAGATGTCCAACAACGATTATATCATTCAGAAAGATGGTCTTGAAGCTAGAAATGAGACCCAGGAA